ACACAGGTGACACAGGTGACACAGGTGACACAGGTGACACTCAGGTGTCCCCTCGGTACCTGTGGGCGGTGCCGGGGCCGGGCGGGGTCACGCTGGAGATGAGAAGATGGAGATGAGAGGGGGGAGGGGACATGGACATGGTCAGGGGGACAGGAGGGGACAGGAGGTGACCATGGACCCTGGAGATGACCATGGAGGTGCCCAGGAGATGGTCAGGGGGACAGGAGGTGACCATGGAGGTGACCAGGAGATGGCCAGGAGATGGCCAGGGGGACAAGGGATGGACAGAGGTAACCATGGAGGTGACCATGGACCATGGAGATGACCATGGAGGTGACCAGGAGATGGCCAGGAGATGGCCAGGGGGACAAGGGATGGACAGAGGTAACCATGGAGGTGACCATGGACCATGGAGATGACCATGGAGGTGACCAGGAGATGGCCAGGAGATGGCCAGGGGGACAAGGGATGGACAGAGGTAACCATGGAGGTGACCATGGACCATGGAGATGACCATGGAGGTGACCAGGAGATGGTCAGAGGGACAGGGGATGGACAGAGGTGACCATGGAGATGACCAGGAGATGGCCAGGAGATGGCCAGGGGGACAAGGGATGGACAGAGGTAACCATGGAGGTGACCATGGACCATGGAGATGACCATGGAGGTGACCAGGAGATGGTCAGGGGGACAGGAGGTGACCATGGAGGTGACCATGGAGGTGACCAGGAGATGGTCAAGGGGACATGGAGATGGTCACGGTCACCTGGGGATGGTCAAGGGGACAGGAGGGGACAGGAGGTGACCATGGAGGTGACCATGGAGATGGTCGAGGGAACAGGGGATGGACAGAGGTGACCATGGAGGTGACCATGGACCATGGAGGTGACCACAGAAGTGACCAGGAGATGGTCAGGGGGACAAGGGATGGACAGGAGATGACCAGGAGGTGACCATGGACCATGGAGATGACCATGGAGATGGTCAAGGGGACAGAGAATGGACAGAGGTGACCACGGAGGTGACCATGGAGATGACCAGGAAATGGTGGAGAGGACACGGGGACGACCGAGGTCACCTGGACACCATGGAGGTGACCACAGAAGGTGGAGATGACCCCGAGGGGATCAGGAGAGGACAACCCGGGGGGTCCGGCCCCACCCCTCACCCTCCAGGTAGTTCCTGGCGATGAACTTGAGGGCCTCGTCCAGCAGAATGACCGGGAAGGAGATCTTGATGACCATCAGCCAATGGGTCAGCGTCAGCGGCGTCAGCTTGAAGATCATCTGGGGACATCGGGGGACGCGGCTGGGACCTCCTCAGGGGCCACCACGGCCGCCCTCGTGGCCACCAGAACCCAACTGTGGCCACCAGAACCCACCCGTGGTCATCAGAGCCCACCCATGGCCACCAGAGTCCACTCGTGGTCATGAGAACCCAACTGTGGTCATCAGAACCGAACTGTGGTCATCAGAACCCAGCTGTGGCCACCAGAACCCAGCTGTGGCCACCAGAACCCAACTGTGGCCACCAGAACCCAACGGTGGCCACCAGAACCCAACGGTGGCCACCAGAACCCAACGGTGGCCTCCAGAACCCAACTGTGGCCTCCAGAACCCAACTGTGGCCACCAGAACCCAGCTGTGGCCACCAGAACCCAGCTGTGGCCTCCAGAACCCAGCTGTGGCCACCAGAACCCAATGGTCACTCAGGCCAAGGTCAACAGAGTCACAGTCGCCATCTTGGTGGCCACCAACTTAATGTCCTCAATGACCACCAACCCAACATCTCCAGGGCCACCACCCCAAGACCACCACCCCAAGGTCTCGAAGGCCACCACCCCAAGGTCCCCATGACCACCAACCCAAGGTCTCCACGGCCACCATCCCTAGGGCCACCACCCCCAAGGCCACTACCTGAAGGCCACCACTCCAAGGTCCCCAAGGCCACCACCCCAAGGCCCCCAAGGCCACCATCCCCATGGCCACCAACCCAATGACCACCACCCCAACATCTCCATGGTCACCACCCCAAGGCCACCACCCCAAGGTCCCCAAGGCCACCAACCCAAGGTCTCCACAGCCACCAACCCAATGACCACCACCCCAAGGTCCCCAAGGCCACCAACCCAATATCTCCATGGCCACCACCCCAAGGCCACCACCCCAAGGTCCCCGAGGTCCCCAAGGCCACCACCCCAAGGCCACCACCCCAAGGCCACCACCCCAAGGTCCCCAAGACCACCACCCCAAGGTCCCCAAGGCCACCAACCCAATGACCACCACCCCAAGGTCTCCAAGGCCACCACCCCAAGGTCTCCATGGCCACCACCCCAAGGCCACCACTCCAAGGCCACCACCCCAAGGTCCCCAAGGTCTCCAAGGCCACCACCCCAAGGCCACCACCCCAAGGTCCCCAGGGCCACCACCCGCGGCCACCCCTGGTGTCCCCGGTGTCCCCTTACGGGCAGGGGGTCGATGTAGAGGATGACGAAGTGCAGGGACATGGACAGGCAGATGGAGCCCATCAGCCAGATGTTCACCCATGGTGGCATCCGCGCCAGCGACTGGTTCTCCGACAGGCTGGGGACATCATGGGGACACCAGGAGGTCACCAGGAGGTCACCAGGAGGTCATGGGGACATTGGGGACATCATGGGGACACCACAGGGTCACCCGGAGGTCACCAGGAGGTCATGTGGACATCAGGATCACCATGGGGTCACCAGGAGGTCATAGGAACATTGGGGTCACCAGGAGGTCATGGGGACATCGGGGACGTTATTGGGGTCACCAGGAGGTCATGGGGTCATTGGGGACACCACAGGGTCACCAGGAGGTCACCAGGAGGTCATGTGGACATCAGGATCACCATGGGGTCACCAGGAGGTCACAGGAACATTGGGGTCACCAGGAGGTCATGGGGACATTGGGAACATCTTGATGGTCACCACAATGACCATGACCATGGTGACCATGATGACCATGGTGACAATGACCAAGATGACCACGATGACCATGATGACCATGACCAAGGTGACCATGACGATGACCAAGATGACCACGATGACCATGATGACCATGACCAAGGTGACCATGACGATGACCAAGATGACCACGATGACCATGATGACCATGACAATGACCAAGATGACCACGGTGACCATGTTCCTCACCTGTTAAGGGCGTTGCACATCTCCATGGTCACCACCATGACCATGACCAAGGTGACCATGACCAAGGCAACCAAGGTGACCACAATGACCATGACCATGGTGACCATGACCAAGGTGACCATGACCATGACCATGACCATGTTCCTCACCTGCTGAGGGCATTGCACATCTCGATGGTCACCACTATGACCATGACCATGGTGACCATGACCATGGTGACCACCATGACCATGACCCAGGTGACCATGATGACCATGACGCCAATGACCAAGGTGACCATGACCATGACCACGATGACCACAATGACCATGACCATGGTGACCACCATGACCATGACCATGACCCAGGTGACCATGATGACCATGATGACCATGATGACCATGACCAAGGTGACCACTGTGACCATGATGACCATGACCAAGGTGACCACCATGACCAAGGTGACCACCATGACCATGACCATGACCATGTTCCTCACCTGTTGAGGGCGTTGCACATCTCGATGGTCACCAGCACCGACAGCGCCATCGTCATCGGCACCGGAGACTCGAAGATGTCACAGTCCAACCCCTCGAACTCCACGTTGTGCTCGGAGCACTGCATGAAATGGGTCTGGGGGGACACGGGGACATCCCGGGGTCACCAGGGCTTGGGGACATCCTGGGGAACATCTCAAGAACATCTCAAGAACATCTCAGGAACATCTCGGGGACATCCTGGGGTCATCAGAGCTCAGGGACATCCTGGGGAACATCTCAAGAACATCTCAGGAACATCTCAGGGACATCCTGGGGTCATCAGAGCTCAGAGACATCCTGGGGACATCTCAAGAACATCTCAGAAACATCTCAGGAACATCTCAGGAACATCCCGGGGTCATCAGAGCTCGGGGACACCTCGGGAACATCTCAAGAACATCTCAGGAACATCTCAGGGACATCTCGGGGACCTCCTGGGGTCACCAGAGCTTGGGGACACCTCGGGGACACCTGAGGACACCCTGAGGACACCTCGGGGACACCTGAGCACACCTTGAGGACACCTTGAGGACACTTTGGGACTCACCAGCTGGTGGTAGCTGACGTTGGGTCCATCCTCAGCGAAGAGGAACCACCAGGCGGCCGCTCCCACCGTGGCGGCCCCGACGTAACCTGGGAGGGGACAACCGGGTGGGTGGGGGGGGTTGGGGACAACCTGGGGGTCTCCAAGGGGCCACCTTGGGGGTCTCCAGGTGATGTTGGGGGCTTTTTTTGGGATCTCCAGGTGTTTTTTTGGGTTCTTTGGGATCTCCAGGTGGTTTTTTGGAGGTTCCTCGAGGAACCTTCTCCACAGGGATCTCCAGGTGGGTTTTTTTGGATCTCCAGATGTTTTTTTTGGATCTCCAGATGGTTTTTTGGGTTCTTTTGGAGCTCCAGATACTTTTTTGGAGGTTCCTCAAGGAACCTCCTCCACGGGGTCATCTCAGGGTGATATTTTTGGATCTCCAGGTGGTTTTATGGAGGTTCCTCAAGGAATCTTCTCCACAGGAAGGTCTCAAAGCAATTTTTTGGGATCTCCAGGTGGTTTTTGGGATCTCCACGTGGTTTTTTTGGATCTCCAGGTGTTTATTTGGTATCTCCAGGTGGTTTTTTGAAGGTTCCTCAAGGAACCCCCTCCACAGGGATCTCCAGGTGGGTTTTTAGGTTCTTTGGGATCTCCAGGTGGTTTTATGGAAGCTCCTCAAGGAACTTTCTCCACGAGGAGGCCTCAAAGTGATTCTTTTGGATCTCCAGGTGGTTTTTTGGGGTTTTTTTGGATCTCCAGATGGTTTTCAAGAGGTTCCTCGAGGAACCTCCTCCACAGGGATCTCCAGGTGGTTTTTTTGGATCTCCAGATACTTTTCTGGAGGTTCATCAAGGAACCTCCTCCACAGGAAGGTCTCAAAGCGATTTTTTTGGGATCTCCAGATATTTTTATGGAGGTTCCTCAAGGAACCTTCTCCACAGGGATCTCCAGGTGGGTTTTTTTGTATCTCCAGGTGGTTTTTTGGTATCTCCACGTGCTTTTTTGGGATCTCCAGGTGGTTTTTTGGGGTTTTTTTGGATCTCCAGGTGGTTTTATGGAGGTTCCTCAAGGAACCTCCTCTACAGGGATCTCCAGGTGGGTTTTTTTTAATCTCCAGGTGCTTTTTTTGGGTTCTTTGGGATCTCCAGGTGGTTTTTTTGGATCTCCAGATGTTTTTTTGGGCTCTCCAGGTGGTTTTACGAAGGTTCCTCAAGGAACCTTCTCCACGGGGTCATCTCAGGGTGATTTTTTTGGATCTACACGTGTTTTTTTAGGATCTCCAGGTGTTTTTTTTGGTTCTTTGGGATCTCCAGGTGGTTTTATGGAAGCTCCTCAAGGAACTTTCTCCACGAGGAGGCCTCAAAATGATTCTTTTGGATCTCCAGATGGTTTTTTGGGCTCTCCAGGTGGTTTTTTGAAGGTTCCTCAAGGAACCTCCTCCACAATCACCCCTCAGGTGACCTCCCAGGTGACCCCAGCCCCGTCTCACCACCGATGGCCAGGTAGCGGAAGAAGAGCCAGCCGGAGATGAGCGGCTCCTTGGGGCTCCGAGGAGGTTTGTCCATGATGTCCAGGTCCGGGGGGTTGAAGCCCAGGGCGGTGGCCGGGAGACCATCGGTGACCAGGTTGACCCAGAGCAGCTGCACCGGGATCAGAGCCTCGGGCAGGCCCAGGGCGGCCGTCAGGAAAATGCTGGGGGAGGGGAGGGAGGGGTCAGGGACTGGGAGGGACTGGGGTAAACTGGGATAAACTGGGATGGACTGGGATGGAACTGGGATGGA